GCCGTGGCATTTTCCCAGCAATATAGAATAAACGTTCCACACACTACTTTAGAACACTTTAAACACATGTGGCGTCGAGGGGGCGGGCGTCGTCAGCTGGAATGGCGCAAGGCACGAGAGCTCCTGAAGATGGTGGCTTAGGGGAGGCCAGGGCTCCCGGCTCCGTCTACAGCCGCGAGCTCGGCTTTCGGAGTGCCCGCTGTGGCCAACCTTGCGTGGGGCGTAGCTGCACATCATGCTTCTTTCCACCGGGCGCAGTGTGGCGGTCTCCTTGCACTGGCTGTTTTCATTTGCATACGCCTTGGACGCGCATGGAAATGACCGCATTACCCTTGCTGTCTTGGCATGTCCACGGCGGGAGCTCCCTGTTCGCGTGCTTTCATATTGCCTTTGTCGATGGCTCGCCGTTCTGTGGTTGCCGCCCTGCACCGCCGTGCTCAAGTCCGGTGCATGCGCGGGGGGCACGGGTTTTAATACCGCACCGTTGTCCGTGGACCTTCTTCGGCTGTGAGACAGCTGTGCTTGCGCCCTTCCCGCCTGCGTCGTAATGTTTGTGGTGTTGTGGATCGAAGGAACGCGGGCAAGGGTTCCCGTGCAACGCACGTTGACCGAGGGTGACATCGGTCGAGCGTGAGGTGTGTTCGCTCTCTTTCTCTTTTCTTGTTGCCAGTTTTGCGAGATACAGCTACTGCTGTTCAATGCGCGTGGTAGAAAGGATGTCCTCAGCCGAGATGCTGCAGTGGCTGTTATGCTGTGAGGGGGGGGGGGGGGGTATCTTTTCTTGAATACTGTTGCCATCGGAATAGTATAGGTTTGTCGAGTAGTTGCCGGTATTGTATGCTTAAAAATCTATATTGTTTGAAAAGGTTCAACGCACATATGAGCGCCTAGTGTCTTGTGAACGTTAAGCGACTCGGAGATTAGAGTTCCGCTATATATTCAGAGCGATCTGCCATTGAAGGGGTCGATCGTCTGTCTCGAATACCTTTATGCAAGCCTATACTGGCGCCCCAGTACATTGTACCGATTTCCCGGATAAGTTCGAGGTTACACAGGTGATTCTTCCTTTTTTCATGGTTTCGCGAATTTTCAGCAATGAGCCTTTATCGGATACGCGTTGGCTCCTTGTAAATTGAAAACGAGCTGACATATTGGACACGCGATGGCTCCAAGTAAATTGAAAGTGAACTCTTACCCCCCCCCCCCCCATTTTTTTTTCTCGCATTGCTGGACACGAGGTCGCGTGTGCTATTCTAAATATTTTTTTTTGCTACGTTTTGCCAAGTGGGATCTCGAATAAGCTTCCCGTACCACTGTGCCTTTTACGCAAAAAAAAGTACATTACCATTGTGGAACTTGGTCGCGCTTGTAACCGTTCCTCGTAGTTCACAGACCCCTGGAAAGCATCGTCTCTCCGAGATGACTAGTGTCCAGCACGCTTTATTAATTTTAAAGCTACCTTAAGGAAGTCTTACGAGTGATTTAAGAGAGATGTAAACAGATCGATTGTTTCACCATGCAGGCGCCTGCTGCTAATGGATTGACACGGGCGCGCACTCGACAGTGGTCGTTTGCCGCGCTTTACTTGCTGGTCATGCCGTATTCGTGTCGTGTGCGCGCTGAACGTTCCCTGCTTGGCTCCTGTCTTTGGCTCATCGCGGTAGTGGGTGCTCCTCCGGGTCGCGGAGCGCCTTTTCTTTCTCTTTTTTTTTTTTCGCCGTGCCTCATTCATCACGTGCGTGTCTTTCTCCGCGGGGTGCGCGAGCCTTCGCCCAGATCGTTGCAAAGTTGCTACAGCCCGCTCGCCCCGGGCCATTAAAAGCGGGAACTGCCGAGTGGCTAACAAAAGCGAGTGGAGCAGGTGGAGACGGCCGGTCGCTCTCTTATTTTTCGAGCGGGGCTTCAGTGTAAATAAGGCTGCTAACAACCGAGGAAGGACTTAATTGTTGAGCCGGCCGGGCAGCGTGATGGATGAGCGCTGCCGCTCGCGGAGGAAGAGGCGCGCGCGTCTCCCTCTGGTGCCGTTCCTCCGGGACCGTCGATGCGGGGGCGGTGTCTCTCCCTCTGTGCTTGGCCGAGTCACTGCGCGAGGCTCCATTTCACGTTGTGGTGAAGCGCGCGAGCTGTCAGATGTGTCCGCGCGGCCGGAAAGGCGGGGGGGGGGGGGGGGGATTCACGTGCTCTGTTTTGGAGCCGCGGCACGTGCTGACTTCTAAACCTTCTTCGGTGAGCCTGTGCTCGCTCGATGGCCAGGAGCGTTCGCGTGGCTATTTTGATGGAGGAGTAGTGGCCGCCGTGCGTTCGACTGGCTTCCTTTGTTTCGGGCAAGCCCTTTCGCGTCTGCCGCAGTCGTGCTTGGCCAACTCTGTGAAGAGCCGCGCGTGCGTTCCACTTTTGCCGCTGAAGTTTCCTCTAGAAGTCGTTCTATGCTGCAGCATCGCCGATGTTCTTGCCTATACTCGCCGCGTGACGAAGGCGCGACGTGCCGCCGCTGGCCGACCGGTCTTGTTCCATTCGGGGATCGGTTTCGGCCGCGCGTCGTGACTTTTTCCTGGAGGGGGCCCTGCGCTTTGTTGTGCGCCTTACCGTTTCGGGTCCCGGCCGCCGTCGGGGGATGCTCGCCGCCGCAAGCAGCAATGTTCACGGGCGCGCGGGCTGCGCCCCGACGTCGCCCATACTGTGTGACACTTTTGGCAGCTGTCTCCGGCGTGACTAGCCTTCGTGCGCTTGACCGCTCTCTTCCTTGACCAGCTGTGCGCAATAGAAGCTTGCTCGCTTTTGCTGCTGCTTGTCCGCAACGCTGTTCTGCCTACACCAGGCCCCCGAGTTCGACAAACGTAGACAGAAAAAAAAATCTTTAAAATTAAGAAAAGTAGGGTGGTGAAGAATTGCGCGCTGACGCCTTGCTTGGACGCCGTTCGTTCGCGCTCAGTGCGGGTCGGTGAATCAAATATCTTAACGCTGTATGTCGATCGACGCGCGACTACACTTTTCAGCGTGACGTGACCACTTACTCGGCCCAGAGGTTTCTTGTCTTTTTCCCGTTATATCTTTCACAAAACTTCGCTGAGATTGGATTTCTTTCTCTCTTTGCCTGCTTTCTGTGCCAACTCATAGTGGCAAGTTGCCCGTCCGGACAATTCACTTGGCATTGACAAGAGTTGCACGGTTTGTCTTTTGTTCAGCTGCCTCTGCACTCCTCTTTCTATGCGTATGTATACATATTTCTAAAGCGCAGCTGTCTTAAGCTTGTATCACAAACTGATGTTATACGAAATTGCTTCTGTCGTGTTTCAAAGCCTGTCGCATCTTGCTGGATATAGGTGCCAGCAACTCTGTCAGCTCATATTTTCGGGTCCATTTTCACCGCTGCGTGCTGTGTTAAGTTCATCTTACATTATGCGAACGCCCACTGGCTTAGCGCAGCACGCAGTGGCCGCTTACCTCCAACTTGTTATTGACAGGGATGCGGAGCGAGCCCTGCATTGACTTAACGTAACTTATTTGCAACAAGCGCGGGTGACTGCAGATGTGGATCTAACTAAGTGTATGTAGGGGAGTATTTTTACGCGTGCCAGCAAAACCAGAACAAAAAAAAAAGTGCGGGGAGAGGGGGGGGGAGGCTGGGCGTGCGCGGCTTAACGACCAGAAGATAAAGCCATGGCGAGGCTATTAATCAAACTGGCACTCGATATCAAGTAGCTCGGTGCCCTCGAGTGGCGGGAGGGGGCGAAGGCCAATGAATCCGCGAAGCAGGCGTGGGCCACTCGTCGGCCGAGGGGGTCCTTTTCGGCCGGGGTGCATCGGGTGGCTGGCTGTAATGTGTGCGGCGGGGTTTGAACCTCTTCCACAAGGGAGGGAGCTTGCTTGCATCGTCACGCGGCGCTTCAGCCACTGACGCTGTCTAAGCGCAGTGCGACCAGTTGTTAACGTAGCGCGTGTGTTTTTATTCCCAATTGTGCATACAATATTTGAACCGTTGTCTCGCGCTTTGTGCAACACTTTTTGAGCATGTGGTCAGAAAGTGCTGCCGATTGGTTCTCGAGGCCCCCGTGAGGATGAGGATTGTAGCGCGCCACGGGACAGATGGTTTACGATTGAATTTCAAAGTCGGCGAGAGACCACGCGTACCATTCTGCCTGCAAGTGATGCTGTAAACTCGAATAAACTGCGTCGCATACCCGAAAAACGCGGTCATTGGCCGATTTGAACATTGTGGGTTTGCAGAGTTGACGCGGGTAAGCGAGCCAACTGCGTGCTACGTTTACGCTTCGACTGCGCGCGAATTCGTAGAATGGAAGAGAGTGTTCCCTCTAATCCCCCCCGCCCAATTCGTTGTGTAGCTTTGGGCGATTTCGCTAGCACGAAAAGCGGGAGAGTTAAAACTCGCAGAGCGTCCTCTTAGAGTGTGCGACATATCTCTGCAACTGCGCTCGTAATTGACGGATTCTAAAAAAAAAATTGCGGTCGTTGATTATTAGGACAATAAACGTCGATAGGGAGGTCATGTCATGATTATTTGGAAAACTGTCGCAGAAACTTTTTGTAGGGCCCCTTCGAAGGCGAATTATTCATGGTATAGCGTTAGCAAAATTTAAAGGGAAAAAAACAAAATAAAGTGCTAAGTACTGGAGTTGGTTGCTATTAACGCTCTCCTTTTTTTATTTCTAAAGGAGGTTTCATTTTCACATGCATAATAGTAGTGATTCCGGCTTATGGTTGCTTGAATGGTAAAGAGTAACTAAACTTAAACGGACGCTATGTGTACGCTGTACATAATGCGCGCGATCTAGTTTCACTCATTCTTTCTCCAAAGTGCGTCAATGCTAACATATTTTCGAAACATGTTAGCTGAACCTTAAAGTGAATGACGCTCAGTGGTACGTGTTGTGTGCACACGTGGGCATTCATTATTTGGGCGTTGCATGGTGTGATTGCATTTAAGTCGGTTTTGATTTCTTTTTTCTTTCCATGTGCCGTTCTCTCTACACTTTCGAAAGGACTTCACATCGGTAAGTGCAGCATACTTATGTTAAAGCGTTATAAAGCTTATAGACCGTTTTGCGTCCTCCGGTTTGTCGGTTGAGGTGACAGGAGTTTATATTTTGAGACGGCGACGAGGTATTTATTTTTTTTATTTATTCAATACTGCCAGCCACCCTTTGGCAGCCAGGGCAGGAGTGGTACAGTGCAGAGTTTGAACACAAAGTTTACACGCGACCAGTAACACGGTCCGCGGTACACAGGGAAGCAATAATTCAGTAAGCTTACAGATTGTCACGACACACAAGCGCACGCAATCAGTAACACGGCCCACGATTCGCAAAGCAGCAGTAATTCTCGTTACAAATAGCTACATGAATATACAATAAAACCGGCAATGCTAGTCTAATGCAAAACACACAAAGTACACTACGCGCATTGACCAGGAAGCGTGAAAAAAAATTAATCGGATGTTGCCATGTAAATATAAAAAATATTGCACAAAAAAAAAAAAAAACAAGCAGTGTGCGTTGTGGCATGGTAGCAAGATAACACGTGAAATACGTTAGTTCAATAGAACAAGGGAACAAGACAGGTATTGGTGGCGTTTTAGCGTATACTATAGAGTTAAGTTGAGGCTGCGATGTCTGTTATATTTATTCGTTATTTTACTTATCATGAAAAAAAAAAAGATAGTTTAATCGCCGGCGGCAGGTAGCACAGATTTACTTCTCCAGATTAGAAGTGGACGTTATTGGCGTAAGAAATACATCTCGACTTACGAGTGAACAAAACATCGCCGACTCACTGATCACCTTAAGTACATATGTCGATTTACTTATTCGAAAGAGTTGAGTTCTCTGCTAGGTCGCGGGTTCCATATCGGCCTCGGCGCGAGTATGTCGGTAAGGGTGCAACTAAAATTAAAAAAAAAGGGAGAACCTCGTACGCTTACATTTAGGGCCGCATTTAAAAAAAAAAAATCTGCGTGGTTAAAATTGTATTCCAGACTTGTATTAAAAAATACCAGGCTTGTGTATAAAATGCTTTCATTTTTCTTGCATACTCAACGAATGCTAGTGGAGCGTGTACATACGATGGCATTGGGCGCTCAATAGATGTTTTTTTTTATTTTTTGCGTCTTGATCGTATTTAACAGTTCATCTTCATTTTCCTCCCCATCCCTCACCTCCTCTGCCTGTTGACCACGTGTCCTGTTGGATCGCCGTACGAAGGGCGTGAGTACACCTGCCTCTTTCTGCCATGCTAAAGAAGTATCCGTCGCGTTTGCGTTGCTTGCCAATGTGACGAGGGGCGAACTCCGCGTGAAGTTTACTTTGTTGCAAAGCGTCGAAACAAAACGTGGGCAAAATGATTCTTTGTGGCATTTCGTTGCCGATCTCGTGTAGCATATGCCTTTACAAGCGTGACGCCGCCTGCTTTCTCTATTATCGTTGGCTTCCGGCCATTACCCTTGTCGCCTTCCTGGCAATGTCTAACTCGGTTCCCTGGTAACCTTGTTAACTCGCTCCTCAGGCTGGAAGGCGGTTGTGCGAAATAATTTTTTTTTTGTCTTAGGCTAGAGGAAGCGGATATGCTGACGATATCGAAGCTGGGAAATAACTGTTGCTTTAATTTCACTTACTATAAATTCTGATCGCACTTTTAGAGAAACAGCTTCTGTTGTGGGTATTGCGTATAGTGAACTTGGCAGAGTGCAGAATAAAGTTAAGTAGCGTTTTCTAAGTTGTATATGCGGTCGGGGCCTGAAATGCTTCGTGAACGGCTTTGGCGCACAAAATGATGTCTGCGTTCTGCCTGAGCCCTTAGCTTACAAAACGACCCCATGGCGATAATTCACTGCCCCTAAAGGAGTATTTGTTTGATTTTGAGGCATCTGAAAAGGGACATTTATTTTTTTCGTTTCTTTGGCATGCACTGTTAACTATCCGCGCACCGCAGTCAGTGCACATGCGTCAAATATTTTAGGTTTTTTTTTTTTATCTTCAAATTTTGTTCACCAGCATTTGCAAACCATCGCCACCACAATGGTCGTTACCATTACGAGCCAATGCAGTTAGTGAACGGCATTTGCGAACTGTGCGTCTGCGTGCTGCCTACATCGCTTTCAGAGTCTTCCCTCTACTCATTGCTATTCACGCGAAACTGAGAGCGGCTGGCAGTACTGCCGCTAGTACGTCTCCAGTTGCAATTTACACACGACCAAGACCTACGTCAGACGACTGCGTTGACACGTCGCTGTGAAACGACCCACTAGCTTTCAAAACTACAGATGATTTTTTTTCTTCTTTTTCTTCTTTTAGAGTGGTGTTTTCTATAATATATTCAAGTGTGTTCCGAGGCCCCACAACGCTTTTTTTTTTAAATGGGTATCCACACCAGCGGTTTTCTTTTTAGCGTTAGTACGAAAATTTCTACACTTCGTGTCAGTACTCTTATATAAGGTTGCTTGTCAACACGATTCTCAACGCGTTCGCGGTGTGACTTTTGTGTCTTCTAAACCGCTAACTTGATGGCTCGTGTGCTCGTTGTAGCATAAACGAACGTCACCATACGTCCTCACCCGCAAGTCGCACTTAGGTGTCGTTTAGCATCCATAATACCAATAATATTTCGTTAGCTTTCCAAAGCGGTTGTTGTAACATAGCACTGTCGTCATGGGGCCTGCGTACCGCACACGCGGTTGAGGTGTTCTCATGTTATTCGTCCGTTCTTTATACCTGAGGCCAGTATAATTCCTATATTGTTGTAATACCCGTGCACGTGTGAATTGTATAGACTTGCCGCTAATGCCCTGCAGCGTCTCGTTTGCGGTGGCAGTGATCTGGCCGTATAGTTCAGCCGCGGGCCTAGTCCTCTGGTCGGAACCGTTGGCTGCGGCACGCACAATGACTACTCTTCAACTGATGTAGTAGTAGTGTTTCTTGAAACAAAACGGAAAATGACACCTAATTTCTGTCTGCCCCTTGGGCGACACGGCGCAGTGCCTTCAAACTGGTGTGTGTGCTCGCATGCAAGCCGTCCACCGCTGGTTGACGGCGTCAGGCGCTGTTTTCGAATGCTTGCACCACGTAGGGCGCGTTTTTTTTTTTTTTGGGGGGGGGGGGGGTGGTTAGAAGGCGCCTAATTTCTGCAGCCCCGGTAGGGAGCACAGCGCCTATTTCTTTTTTTGTACCGACGCCCGTGTGCGCGCACCTCTCTCCCAACCCCTGCATGCCCTCCCTCCGGCTCTGCTGCTGCTGTGGCCGTGGCTGTTCGTGCTCCCCGCTGTGGAACACCGTGCTACGTTTGCGGAATGCCTCTCGACCCTGCTGGACCTCGGCGACCGACAGTATGTGAGTATCGCGAGGACTCTCCGCTTCTTTCAAGGGGCACTCGAATTCACATTTCAACGGCGCGGGGCGTGTTTTCGTTCTTCAGAGTTCGCGTACGTCTATACACAGCTATGCGTACATATAGTTTATTGTGGCGTTTTCTATGGAGGCGGAAATGCTGGAGGGGCGCGCGCCTTGACTCAGGTTAAGGTGATGCTGTGACTGAGTCGCATCTCGCCACTTTTCATTTGCATCGTAATGAACTTCGACTCTCGAGAATGCCCCACATTGATATTTTTTTTTTTCCCACTCGATGCCCCAACTGTAGTCACTAAGCATTGCAAGTGGTGGGCATTGGTATTGCCTATCCACTTACGCATTTTAGTCATAGCGCCACTGATAGTCACAGCACTGGCTCCGCCGGCATTCCCGGAACTCCACGTGCCTCTAAAGTTGCAGCTCAGGTTATCTCGAAGGAGCGAGGATACACAACTCGTTTGCACACAATTTCTGTTGGAGCTGGTCATCGCGCCATCGTTGTGAAATGCATTCTTTGCGCTTATAAATTGAGATGTGTTCGTGCGTGCCTGTGTGCGCATTATACTGTGCGTGAATGTTCACCACACCTTACAGGGCCGATAAAACTGCAAAAATTTTTGCAGCTGTTGCTTTGCTATGGTTATCAGGGCTTCGCCTTTCGGATTCAATTGTCACTGTTTTATTTATTTCTTTTTTTTTGCACCTCGCATGGTGCACTCAATAGTATATGTTCTTATTTTCGGTCTCATATTTAGTATGGTGTATGTCCTTTTAGCCTACACGTATTCTACGCATGTTAAACGTCTGCGCCGACTTCAAAACTATTCTCTCAGGTGGACTCGACCAGTCAATTTGATTTTACTCTCTAGGTCATGTGCGCCGTTTTCTTAAGGTAACATTATCTCGCTGCGACTTTTAGTAGGTTAGAAACTATTCATAGTTATATTTAGGCTCTTCACGTATATACGCCGCCTACATTGCATGCATTGATGCTGAACACATTTTTTTTTAACAGCAGCATTTGCTGCAATAACCTCCTTTTGCCTGCCGTAAGGGCGAATTACGGCAATGTCACAAACCTCTTTTCTGGCACAAGAATATGGAATTTATTACCTTTTAAAATTAAGTAATCGCGCCCTGTTTGCTCATTATATGCCGCACGTTTGACTTTTTTAATTAACTATCATACTTATATCATAATTACTGCATTGAGTTTCTTCGATTTTTTTTTATCTCTCGCTTATCTGTTTGATTGTTATTGTCTATACTTCTTGTCCTTTTGCTTACTCAAATCCTTCTGATTTTCGCGCGTGTTTCATTACATAGTATTACCACTAACTTACACATCCAGTTTAGTGTTGAGGATAATCAATTTACTTTATTATTATTTATGTTGACCTGTCCATAATTTCTGGTATTTTTCTATATATCACCATATGTCCAGGACGTCCGTTTGACAGTATGTTCGATGGTCTGTGGCCTTGTGCTGTGATATCCTTACTAATTAATTTAACTACAACATGATTTTTGCAATAAGCTCAACCATTGCTGCTCGAGAAGTGCACGCAAAGTGTATCCAAAAGTCTGTAACGCCTCTCGCTAAGATGGTGGATATGCTGCTTAAAAAAAAAAAAAAAACATTACGACGCGACCGCGCACATCAGCTGCGTGCTGTGAGTGCTTTTTTTTTTGTTCTTTTCCCAGTGGTGCATGTTGGCTTCTGGCGCGTCCCGCTCGTTCACCAGGTGAGCTGCCCGAGGTCGTGTATACACGGAGGTGGGGGGGGGGGGGGGGATTTTTCTCCGTGACCACTAAGGTATAGGAACGGCCCCGAACCCAGGGCAGAGAACTCTTCGTACATGCGTGGTACAAGCCGGAGAGATTGCTCGACGTGCTGCTGCGGCCCATGTTGCAGGTGCTGCCCCCCCTCATCCGTGGTTTTGCTCTCGGCCGGTTCATTAACCGGAGAGGCTGCTTGTGACCCCCCCCCCCCCCCCCCCCCTGTTTTCGCCCGCTGTCGAGGCTTGGTTGTCCCCGGTGTGTCGATATCGCGGAATGTCCGGCACGCGTTTCGGTGGCATGCGGACGCATAAGTTGTGCTCGGCTGCGAGCACTGGCCGTGAGCGCCGGCATTCCTCCTTTTGCAGTTGCCTGACTGCGTGGCGCACGCTGTACGTCATCTGGCCCTGCCTGCATTACCATTTCTGTTTCGGGCGCGGGACAATTTACGAACTGATTGCTTGTCCCTCGGACAGCTTGTTTCCAGTTTTGACAGCGTGTAAGCTACGGCCGCGCGTTTGTTCTCCCGACACCCGCGGACACCCGGCCCCTTGCGTTCTCCGAGCGCGATACTTCTCGTATTCTTGGCGTTGAGCCTCCCTGTTGGGGCTTGTATGTCTTTTGCCCGCTGTGGGTGTAATGCCTGCAACCGTAGAAAAGTCCTCTCATCGGGAGAACAGCAAAAAGGGAGGGTGGCAGTGAACGGCTGCGAGTTTGACCTATTTACTCTCTTGCATTTCAACATATCGTTTTCATTTTTTTTTTCGCGTATAGATGTTTGTGTACAATTAACCTCGTAGAAAGTTCACATTGGCGTGTCGCTGTTCGAATGAAAATATTTTGAATGTATTGACGCATATATACGCGTGCGATGCTTCAGGGTGCGACTGCCGACTATTGTGCTGAACTCTAATCCTTAGCTTAGTGATCAAAATTTTTTTATATTGCGTACCCAATTATCGTTTTACCGTAAGTAGCTAACATGTCTGGGCTTGTGCAATTAACGTAGCCGTTATTGTAGAGCACTTGCACTCTGGTGCAAAGTATGTGGCCCCTTGTATGAGGCGAAAGTCTGGTCTTTGCCGCCTTTGCACGTCTTGTGCAATTCGGAAAAGCATGGAACCCGCCGTGGCTCTTCTGATCTCTTCGTGTCTTCCCCCGCATTTGTGCAG